GCAAGAAAGTTTAACAAATGTGCGTCCACTCTATTCGAGGTTTTCATATGGTATTTATTATATTTTTGCAACGAAAAAACTCGCCTTCAAAAACTCGGATAGCCCATTTGGTAGATTGTTTGGTTTTCTTTGTTTCTGCTCTTACAATTATCTCGTCTATTGCGGCACTTGACATGTTTTCAAATCTTTGCCTGTTTAAATTGCCGCCGCGCTCATTGTTTTTGTAATTAACTTTGCTGGAAAACTCACTTTCAGTTAAAGGGTAGGTCGCATTGTCATTGACAGTATCCTCTAAATCGATCGACGCTAACAGCTCGTTTTCTCTTTCGTCTTTAAGGTCGTAGAGGACTTCTGGGTCAAATAAAAACCCAAGAGAAAAATTCCGCATTTGGTCCGCCATGTTAAAAATTGGCAGATGGCGTGACAGCTTCAACTCCATGTCTATACTCTGATAGAGCACGCCCTTTCAACCAATGACAGCAAGCGTTATATCCGAACTTTATTATAAATTGATATTGGTAATGATATAGATAGAAAACTGTGTACAAATAAAAGATTTAAAAGTAAATAATACGAAATACCAATAAGATAGTTCGTTAAAAAGAGTGCAACCGTAGTAATAGAAAGATCGTTTTGCGATCTCAGTCCTCGCAGCAGATGGATGTGAAAGGTTGCTTTGTCTTGTGGCGCGCGCGTAGATTGTATTATTACGTTTGAAATATCCTTTAAAATATTTGGGACATTGACCTTGTAGGCATTTCTTAACGAGTTTTTATAAACAGTTTTACGACGACGCTCCTCCAGCGTGGGTGATTACAGAACGTCCATTGCCGGGTTGCTGTGCACAGTTCCTGTAACTATTCTGGCAGCCCGGTTTTGGAATGCTTCAAGACCTTGTTTGTGACCCTCCCAGGAGCAAATACTATTCGAGGTTCAAATCACCAGCATTATAAACTAAAAAACGTTAATTGAAGATATAATTACCGCAATTGCGAAAATGAGCCTTCACCGGTACGGGGCCTGAAAAAAATAAATTTAAAAAAGCTTTCTTAGCTACCTTCTGCTTTCTTTAATGCAATTCTAAAGGAGTTGTAGAGACGATAAACAAGCCAATAGTCTTTCCTGCCCCATAAACTCACCGGGTCAATCTAGTTTGTTCTGAAAATAAGAAAAGCTAATTTTTCTACGGTACAAACCTTGCTCGCCACAAAAGCCGCACGATCTTGGGCAGTATTTGCTCATAAATTCTCCTTTTTTTTGACAGTATTGTTGAAATGAGGCCAGTTCAGGGCATTTACATCGATACCAGATGTGGTCTTGGCAGCCTATGGATTGCAAGCAAAGGGAGATGTTAAATTACAAGTTAATGATAATTAACAAGTTGCTGTCAATTTTCTATCGTCCATAACCTTATTGAGCATAGAAATGACGCCAACTATGTTCAAAACTAAAGTGAAACCACGGGGCACAGCTAAGGTTTTAGACGATGGAAAATTGACGTCAATTTGTTTTTTTTTTTCTTTTACAATAAAATTATGGGCTTAAGTTTTAAAATTTAAGTTTTTAGAAAATCACGCGCGCGTGTGTGAACCGAGAGTTTTAATTTTCTTTTTCTTGTTTGTTTTTTTCCGCGTTTTCTTTCGTTTCCATATTTCTAATATTTGCAAATGTTTCCACGCGAAAAAATTCTTCTCCGACAGATTGCTGACCATTGCATGACATGTACGTCACTTTTATGATCTACAACCTTGCTGACAATGGCTCTGGATCCATTAAGCGTCTGAGAATTATTACGGTGATCGTAAAAAAATAAATAACAAAAAGGAGATAGTAATAATCATATATACGAGTACACCACTAGCCATCCATAGAGATAACGTTAGTGCCTTTGACGATCCTAAACTGAGGATAAACCAAGAATATTTCTAACGAAGTTTAGTTTCGATTTCAGAAGTTAGAGGAGTAATGAACATTTTTTACCTCTTAAAGAAAGCGGAAAAAGAAACAAAAAAATCAGAAATCAACCAACAAATGAGTAATACCAATCGGGAGGCATTCAACTCCCTCTGAGCTTTAGAATCTAAGAGTTTGTCTTGATGAGTTAGTTACTAAATGAAATGGTGACTGACCCTTACTGACATTATTCATTGTAACATGTGGTCAATCCCCTTCAGAAATAATCATGCATCTGAATTTCCAAATTCAAGATCGCCTTGACAGCGGGAAACTCCAGGCCGTTGGGCAATGATAAGAGCTTAATTTTCAAAATTGAAAAACAATCACCGATTGAACAGCTGATGTCGCCTTCCAGATCATCAAAATTGATGTGACCCCATCCTCCAGAGCTGGAATCAACAAGTTTTATGTGTGCTTCCTGACCGGAAAACTCTCCAACATTCCAGATCTTACGAGCCATCGTTTCAGTACATTTGCCGGTTTCCTTCTTGACAACCTGTTTGTGAAGAATTCATGAAAATTGCATCTTTCAACAATTGCTTAGTGGGAGGAGAAAAGTAGTAACATTGACGCGAAATTATCTCAACAAATTCTACCGACGCGGACTAACTATTATGGCAACTGCCGTCATCCGGTAAGCTTAGGAAATTGGGGTGAATCTGCTGTTAGAGAAAAAAGGGGCTTACCTGGTTATGTACGACCAACTCAACGCGAACTTTGTCAATATCACAGCCTCCACCAATAAGAAATGAGATCGTTGGACCAGTGATTTCAAAAGAGGGCGAAATAAGGATTCCTTTCGGAACGTCTCCTTGGATTTTCCCTGCTAGGGCCGATTCAGAAGGCCGGTTCTCGTATCCTCCGATCCACCAGTCACCCTGCTGATGAGCCGGCTGTCCTCTGTTTCGAGCTGTTGGGTTATCGCCAAATGTTGGCTGGTTTTGAAACGCCTCACCAACTGCAACCCAGCCGCGGAGTCCATTTTCGAAGTCAAATTTGCAACGCGCTTCCAATAATAAATGATAGAGATTTTATAGTTTTTGTTAATATATTCACTGACTTCTGTTTCTTATTTCACTTTTGTCTGCGATTTTATAGCACAGTTGTTAACTCACCGAACCTTAAGGTGACTCGTACCGGTTTTCATCTTTTTGATGGTTTGTAACTTTGAAAGAATTCAACAGAAAGACTGACGAGGGCCAGTTGAACACTTTTACGGGGTTGAATTACATAATCATTGGTTATCCAAAAATAAGTGACATTTCGTCGCTTTCATAGGCTTTCATTTCAAAGCTTTCATAGGCTTATTCAGACGCATTTTTCAGCTTGTGGCTTAAATAATTCGAAAACTAACCAGGTGACCCCGTGATCTTTTTCAGTGATTGTTTTTGGCATTTGAAAAGGAAAAGGCACAAAGATTTTTAAAAAATTCTACGGAGCGGAATTTCAGAAAATCTACAAAAAGGGCAATTTTAACACATCGCAAATTTCCTTCCGTATAATTTTCTAGTTTTTTTTTCTGATGTTTCCTTTCGACGTTATTATCATATTGGAACAATAAAAAGAAAGGGTCAACAAACTTGTTTTTATGCAATAGTTTTCGTGAGTTTAGCAATTTCCACGCGCGTTCTCGCGCATTTAATAATCTGGATTCTGTAGGATCGACATTTACTCATGATCTGTTTTAGCTACCGCTGACAATTGCGTGTGCTCGCGCGAGCACCTACGATCTGATACGCCATCTTTGTTTTGAATTTTCATCTTTTGATCTCACGCTTCTTTCGCACGTTTCTCTCGCGCGCGTCACGCAAGAGTGACTTGTTCCCCGCGCAAGGAGACTGGTACGAGCCACCTTAAGAGTCACCAGCATCTTATTTCTCATCGCCATATCACCCCTGAACCGCACATTAAGATCATAAGAACTAAGGAAATGATCCGCAATTTAAGAAGCTCTTAACTGTTCAACAAATTCTCCTTGCCAGCACCATAAGAACTGTGTAGAAAATAGTACGGAGAATATACATACTGATAGTAGGTTGTGAAGGGTTAAATACAGAACACGTCCTTCAGATATTTCTGTCAAGTTTAGGTTCCTTTTGAATCATTCGAAACCCACTCGATCATTAAAGAATTCGAAATAAACTACCTATGATTTTCCATCATCGAAATGTGGCTGTTATACTCAGAAGCTATATTTGTTCATCATTGTATGTTTTTGTTGTTTATAGATGCTCGTTCACCCAAATATAATCATTCACAGCCGGAAAATAACAAGGAAAAATTACCCGGGCAGCCCAAGCCGACTTGCAGATCGTCAAAGTTGATGTGACCCCAACCGCCAGAGCTGTAATCAACAAGTCTAACGTGTGCTTCCTGACCGATGAAATCTCTAACATGCCAAGCCTTACGCCTCATTGTCTCAGTGCAGTGGCCAGTTTCTTTCTCGACGACCTGCAAAAAGTGAATGTTAAAATACATCTTTCAAGACCAACAATTGTCCGACTGAGACAGAAAACAGCATCAAATGGTCCAACTATTTCACAAGAAGTGACTAACAGATGTAAAACCCGGTAAACCAGACTGAATATTGTAAACAGAAAAGAATTTGAGAGGACGATTGCTTAGCATTGCTTCATGTATACCTTGTTACCAACAATCAACTCTACACGAACAGTGTTTACATCGCATCCTCCGCCAATCAGGAATGAGATCGTTGGACCAGTGATTTTAAAAGTTGGAGAAGTAAGAGTTCCTAGTGGACCGTCTCCTTGGGTTTTCCCTGCTTGAGTCGATTCGGAAGGCCGGTCTTCGAATCCTCCAATCCACCAGTCACCCTGTTGTTGAGCCGGCTGTCCTCTGTTTCGAGCTGTTGGGTTATCACCAAATGTTGGCTGGTTATCAAATGCTGTACCAGTCTTAGCCCATCCATGGATTCCCCTTTCGAAGTCAAACTTGCAAGGAGCTTCAGATAAAAAAGAATCAAAGATGTTCTTAATATACCCTATCTAATAACTATGGTGGTATTTTTTTTTTCATGGCTGTACAAGTACGAATGCTGTAAATGTGAAATTTCGTCCGCCATGTTGCTTGCTTACTTTCCAGCTAATGGTGGTAGTGTTTTTTTTTTTTTTTTTTTTCATGTCTATCCAAATACGTATGCTGTCAATGGGAACTTTCATCAGCGATGTTGCTTGTCTACTTTCCAGTTAATGTTCAAATGTTTTTAAGTTTAAAGATGAAGAAATCCTCACGCCATACTAGAGATAGTTTCCAATTGGCTTAGTCAGGAACGCTGGGAGGATCATGATCAAATCGACTCGTGAAGAGATTATCTACGGAACTCGAGCTTCAAAAGGCAAATATAGAAAAAAGATAGGGATTGAATAAAATACGATCCTCATTCTTAAACTCGTCGTTTTAAGAAAAGAGGCGGAGAGTACAGCTCGGATCCACTTCTCGCCTTGGTTTTGAGGAAGAAGAAGTGCAACGAAAATAATGCTATTAAATATTAAAGGGTAGGAGGAAGATTAAAGATGAAAAGCATTTTTAATTTCATGAGACACAATGTGCAATGTCCTCGGTAAAAGAAAGATTCTTAGGTAAATAAACGCATAGCTTATATAAATTGAAACGGAGACCTGTAAAAAAAAAAATCCTTAAAAATACCGTGACACCATTAAAAAAAAAAACCTTCGATGGCAAATCAACTTCAGCCAGGAGCTGCAAAAATCTTCAATTCAGGAAAAATTACCTTCGACTGGGCAGCTCATGTCACCTTTTAGATCGTCAAGGTTAATGTGACCCCAACCGCCAGAGCTGGAATCAACAACTTTAATGTGTGCATTCCGACCGATAAACTTTTTAACATCCCAAGCCTTACGCGTCATCGTCTCAGTGCAGTGGCCAGTTTCTTTTTCGACGACCTGCGAAAAGTGAATGTAAAATTACATCTTTCAAGACCAACAATTGTCCGACTGAGGCAGAAAACAACATCAAATGGTCCAACTGTTTAACAAGAAGTGACTAACAAATGTAGAACCTGGTAAACCAGACTGAATATTGTAAACAGAAAAGAATGTGAGAGTACGCTTGCTTAACATTGTTTCATGTGTACCTTAATACCAACGATCAACTCTACACGAACAGTGTTTACATCGCACCCTCCGCCAATCAGAAATGAGATCGTTGGACCAGTGATTTTAAAAGTTGGGGAAACAAGAGTTCCTTGTGGACCGTCTCCTTGGATTTTCCCTGCTGGGGTTGATTTAGAAGGCCGGTCTTCGAATCCTCCAATCCACCAGTCACCCTGTTGTTGAGCGGGCTGTCCCCTGTTCCGAGCTGTGGGGTTGTCGCCAAATGTTGGTTGATTTTCAAACGCAGTACCAGTCTTAACCCAACCATCGAGTCCACTTTCGAAGTCAAACTTGCAGGGCACTTAGCAGAAGAGTGAAAGAAAAAACCTTTAAGTTCTGTCCAAAATATTTCTAGATATTAGGAGGAAGTTTGAGTTTCGATTTTTCCGTCACAGTACTCGATACATAAAAGTAGAGCGCGATATATGTTGAGTTAAAAAAATACAAAGACTACGCTTTCATTCCTACACGCTTGTTTCGGGATTGCTCACTCATCAGGGGTATAAATATAAATAATATAAATCTGGAACCTGCTTGTTAGTAGAGTTGACCTAGATAATGTTACCCTTCAGAACTTTAAATCTGTTCTTTACGGTTATTACTCGCGGGCTCTAGCAATAAAATATGACGCGGATTCTCCAAGGAGCTTCAAAAGCATTTGTTTGAAATGTAACACAGCCAGGTGTTTAGACCAAGAAATTAGCAGCTGCATGTGATTTAAATTGCTACTTTTTTTATATACTTCATATATTTGTAAATATCTATTGTATATACTTTATATATTATTTATATACTTTTAAATACTTTTATTTCTGGGTCCGCAGTAATTGGCCTCAGCTGTTGAGGTGTCCCTGCCCAAATTTTAAAGTTATTATTAGTGTATTGTTGTGTTCTTATTATTTATTACTAGGCTTGTATTTCCTTATTTTTTTTTGTTTTTGTTTTTTGTTTTGTTTTGTTTTCTGTTGTTTTATTGTTTTTTTGTATTCTTCAGGGCGAAGCTAATAATATAAATAAATTCTGTATACGAGAGAAACCCTGATCCTTTACACCCCAAATAATCATACTTAAATAGAATAAATGTTT